CTATAACACGATACAAATTTAGTTGAAACCTCAAATCACATCAAACAACATCAAAAACATAAATCGCACCCCAATTCAAGCCTAGTGAAAAGTAGTGAATTCCAACTTCCACAATCGATGCCGAAACCTATCAAATCAACTCCGGTTGACCTCAAATTTTGTACACAAGTCATAAATAACACAACGGACCTATTTCAACTTCTAGAACTAAAATTTGTGCCCGATAACCACAAAGTCAACTCTCCATCGAACTTCTCAACTCTCCAAAATTTTATTTTTCCAACTTTCGCCAATTCAGTCAAAATAAACTACGGGCCTCCAAATCACTATCTGGACAAACTCCTAAGTTCAAAATCACCATAAAAAGCTATTAGAATCTCCAAAACTCTGTTCCGGAGCCATTTACACATAAGTCAACATCCGGTCAACTCTTTCAACTTAGGTTTCCAACCTTAGGACTAAGTGTCCAATTCATTCTGAAACATCCCTGGGACCAAACCAACTACTCCGATAAGTCCCATAATAAAAATTAAGCATAGATTAAGAAGTGAATGAGGGAACAGGGCTGCAACACTCAAAACAACCGGCTAGATCGTTACAGATAGATTTGAAGCTCATAATTAGAATATAGAAAACCAAAACCCACTTTTATATGGTTTTATGACGAAATTCGAATTTAGCAAAATAAAAGCAGAATATCAATGATATAGTTTAAAGAAAAAATAAGATGAAAGTTTACAAAATATGGATAATGAAACACAATTCAGCATTAAAAGGATGAGTTATATAAAAGATAAGAAGTTGAGGTCTAAGCGGATGGACGGAGAGACCAATGAGATTACAAGAGGAAAAATGTGTTAAACTTAACTAGAGCTTTGGTATCTCTCGTTAGTTTTATCATTAGTCCGTACAATTTATGTTGACCGGAAGAAGTTTTGGCACTTGAAATTATCTGCAAAAGTTAAAAACTTTGTTTGGAGGTTAACTCAAAATACATCGTCTACTAAATTAAATTTATTAGCTAGAGACATTAATCTTCAATAGAGTGTCATTTTTATGGCTTAGTGAAAAATAATAAATATGTATTTCTTGAATACGAGAAGGCGAGAGAAGTTTGGGTGGCATAACAACATGACCTGGATATGGAAGGCGTTAATATGGCAGAGTTCCTTAGCTGTGTAGTTAATAACTCAGATGCTTTGAAGGCTAGGTATACATGTGCAGTCCTATCACGACCCCAAAATCCCACCTTAGATAGTCGTGATGGCACCTAGTCTCTAAGACTAGGTAAATCTAACCCACATTGAGAATTTAGCATAAATAACAACTAAGATATTAAATTAAACTGATAAAATATCTAATGAACCCAAAACGGAACAACAATCATAAAATTCTCAAAAATGGTGGATCTGAGCCATAAGCTCTACTGAAATAAATTAAGAATATCTAATACAATATTGTTCGAATATAAAAGAAACAATAGCATAAGATCATTAGAAGGTGATTCCAAGGCATGCGAGCGTCAAGAAGGTATACCTTAAAGCCTCCAAAATATCTGAGTCAACTCACTTGCGTCCGGCACGAGCAGAAGTACCTGAATCTGCACAAAAATATACAAAAATATAGCATGATTATACCACAATATTACCCAGTAAGTATCAAGCCTTACCTCAGTAGAGTAGTGATAAGATCAGGTCAAGACACCTATTAAACATAGCAATTTGTGCAAAATATTAATATAATCTAACAAGGGAAAGTAAATACAATTAGACAACAACAAAGCAATTTAGCAATTTATCAATACTGACTAACAACGAAAATAAAAGAAACAAATGACAATAAAGTGGGTACATGATACAGACAAAAAGTAACAAATTATAATAAAATTACACGAATGAAATTACGTAAGGAAACAAAACAATAACCATTCAAATCAACAAGCATTTCCAATGTTGAATGTACAATAAGAATCACACCGAGGTACCACACCTCAAATTCACATTTCATAAATCATAATCACAATTCTTCCTTATATTGTCGCATGAGTCTTGCATATATTTTTAAAAATATTTTTTTCGCAAAATAGCTTCACGCTCTTTAACCCCTTATCTCACCGCTTGGCTTCAAGTAATTCCTTTCCTAGCAACACGCGTATAAAATCCCACATTATCTTGGCACATGCACACCACCCTTATACATCCGCTTACGCATGAATATCATAATACAATAATCAACTCGCCCCACACGTGCCCATATGCCAAAACATTAACAAAATCAACAGTACCAATGTCACCATAATACATAGCCTACGGCTCAACCACAATGTGTACAAGAATCTCAATAATAATAAAATAAATGGGAAATAATTCAATAAGGAAAGATATTCCAATAATCAGCAACTTCAACCACAAACGTTTTAATAGCTCTCAACATCTACAACTTCAATAACTCAACAATGAAGGTATTTTCCGGAAATGGCAAGTTCAAATTTAAAATACATAACATAAGCTTAACGATGAAAGAGATAACATGAAATAGCAACTACGTCTAAATACATGAGAATAACTCAGCAATGAAAAGGAATAGTATATAATAATAACTACTAATAAATGCATATAAGAGTAACCTCAATAAGGAAAAATAGAACATATAATGACAACTTCAATTAAAGCATGCAAGGATGAACTTGACAACGAAAGATAGAACAAATAATAACAACTTCAATTAAATATTTATAAGTAACCTAAGAGTTTAAATTGGTCAATAGTTATATATAAGCTCGTGTATACACTCATCACCTCATGTACACGTCTTTTACATAATTCAAATAGTACAATCAAACCCAATCCTAAGAGGTAGTTTTCCCATACTTAACTTAACTAGGCCAAATCAACACTCAAAAATAGCTTTTTCCTTAAAATTTGCCTCCACACGGCTAAAACCTAACAAAAAAAGACTTAATATCATCAAACAATACAAGAGAAACCAATTTCAATCAATAAAGCTAAGATCTTTACACAATTCCACAAAAGCCAACAAAAGTCAACTCCAGGCATGCCCGGTCAAAACCCAAGTCCAAGGGTAGATGTCGACTACCCATAACCCCACGAGTCCATATATGTGTTTTATTTTCAAATCTGAATCCAATTCGACACTCAAATCTCAAATTTTTATTTTTCAAAATGTAGAACAAAATTTCTCTTAGCAATTCATGAATTTGATGTTAAATCCCATAAATAATCATGTAATATAATTTAAAGTTGATCAAAATCACTTACCCAATAGTTGTAGGTGAATATCCCGCCTCAAAATCGCCTACTACCGAGTTTAGAGTTCTAAAATGTGAAAATGAGACTCAATCCCGTCTTTCTAGCCCTTATGTTCAGGTGCAGAAGTCGCAATTCGACCATTGCGAACCCTCACAAATGCGAATATTGACTCGCAATTGCGGTGCCTAACAGCCCAGGGTAATGTCGCAATTGCGACACTGACCTCACAAACGCGAAGTCAGCCCCTTCCGCAAATGCGACCAAATGGTTGCAAATTCAGCCTACCCAGCCTAAGCCTATACTTCGAAAATGCAATACCCGAGACCACTCTGCTATGATCGTAATGATGATGCTGGTGCTCGCAATTGTGATAACTGGAGCACCAGCACACCAGTAACCTGGAATGGACCCAAACCAATTCGAAACACGTCCGAAACTCACCCGAGCCCTTGGGGCCCTAAACCAAATATCCACATAAGTCTAAATATCATATGGACTTGCTCACATGATCAAAATACCGAAATAATATCCGGAACAGGAATCGGATACCAAAACGCCTGAAATTCAAAAGGAAAACTCAAGAACCTCTAGAATCACAACCAAGCATCTAAATCCTATCAAACCAACACCAAATGACACAAAATTTGTATACAAGTTTCAAATAACAATATGGACCTATTTCAAGTCCCAAAACCAAATTCCGAACCCGATAGCGGTCAAACTTAAAGAAATTTCGAAACCTCAAATTGCTAACTTTCGGCAAAACAAGTCAAATCAACCTAGAAACCTCCGAATTCAATTTCGGACATACGACCAAGTCCAAAATCACGATACGAACCTATCAGAGCCATTAAAATACCATTTCGGGATCGTTTTTACAAAAAAACCAAACCTAGGTCAACATTTCCAACTTAAGCTTCTAAATTAAGAACCAAAGGGTCCAAATCAATCCAAAACTTCTATGAAAAGAAACTAATCATCCTTGCAAGTCATAAAATCATAAATACATATACAAAAAGCTTTAAAAGGGAAAACGAGGCTCAAATACACAAAACAACCGGTCGGGTTATCATAAGTTCTTTGAAAAATTTGGGCCCATGAGGAACAAATTTATGTAGAATGATAATGTTCTTCCTCATATCTGTGTTATCCGGAACTTTAAAAGTTTTAAGCAAATGGGAGATTGCCATGACTGAAAAGCGATTGGGAGGTCTAATGAGTGCTTCCGCTCAGGGATGTGGCCTCGTCTTAGTCTAAGCCTCCACATGGGATTTGAAAATACAATATAGATGCAACTATCTTCCTTTCTTCAGGCTATAGTGGAGCAGGAGTTATTGTCGTTATTGAGCTGGTCGTTTGTAGTTGCCGCTTCTTCAGTTTTTTGAGGTTGTCTTAATGCTAAGCAAGCTAAAATTATGAGTTCTATGTTTTGCCCTCGTCTAGTTGATTCAACATTTTAATGGCCCGGGTATAGACGTATAGTTGAATGTGATTCTCAAAAAGTTATACTTTTTGTAACTCCTTAAGTGAAGATTTCACATAGCTTGACGTGCTTTTAGAGGATTGTAGTTTCTTGTTAAGAAGAAATCATAATATTTCTCAGGTTTGGGTTAATATGCAAGCAAATCTAGTTGCTCATCGCTTGACAAATGAGTCTGGAAATTATGTTAGTCCTTTATATTAGGAGTATGCCTCTAGTTTTATTATAAACTTGTTGGCTGCTAATTCAGCCTAATAAAAGTCTTGAGTTGTATTAAGCATACATATTAAGAACCAAAATAGTTCAACCCTATACATTAAGGACAATTTTGATCTTTATTTTCCTCGCCTTTTCCAACTATTCTAATCAAAGCTACTACCTGAAATGGTTCATTTCTATGTTTTATAAACTTTAAGGTGCTCAAGAAAACAAAAAAGTTATTTAAGGTGTCAAAGTATGAAAATCCATGAAAGCTCCTACACTCTTTGACTCTTTTTTCTCGCAGTTTTAGAGAATCAAAGGAAAGAGGAAGGAGAAGATGATGCGAACGAGGTTGCTATGGTTCACAATAGGTCTCACTTCTGTTTCAGCTACTATGACTCACTTCATATTCAAAGATCTATGGGCTGATCGATTCTCTCTTTCTTCCCAAGTAATTTCTCTGACCAAAAACCATTATTATTATTTTTTTTTGGGGAAAAGAAATGTTGATTCTTTTTTTATTTTTTTGGAGTACAGTTGAAGGAGAAATGTAGCGTCTTGGAGACTAGAGTTTCCAGTCTTGAAGTGCTTCGTGGTAGTCCCAATCCTCAGCAGGTATTTTCTGGCTAATATTTAGGAATAATATTTATTGTAATTTTTTTTTAACCTGAATTTAGCTTCAGAAGTTAAGCTGGTCAATTGTATGTTTAAAGTACGGTTATATTATAAGATTATTTATTATATAAGCAAATTCCTGTGGAATCAAGCTTTGTTTAGTTCCAATCAAGTTTGCCTTCTTGATTGAGTTTTGAGGTGTGCCCAAGTTGGCCCCAACACTGCAACAACAACAATAACAACAATAGCTAAGCCTCTTCCAAACAAGTTATGGTTGGCTATATGAATCCTCATTGATCACATTACTTCATTCAAGCTCATCTCATGCTAATATTATGCATATACAAATAAAAAGTGTTAGAAGTATTAGAAACAGGCCCGAGCACTACTGTTATGAAAAAGAAAGTTTGCCTTCTGCATTTACATACAATAGCCAATTACCTCATTCAAATCGTTTAAAAAGTTCTAAATAGTTTTGCTTAGCTCACCCTTTTGAGGGATGACCTCTCACATTATTCCTGAATATTAGTTTGATATATCAGCTCTGTCTTCTGTTCCCCGTTTCTTATTCCAAATGTTGTTACTAATGTTATTAGTCTCATCTAGATGGATGCTAGGTTTTTTAGTCAGTGAGAAGCTGAGTGCGAATGATTGACAAGGATGCCTCCATTTAATTGGTGTTGCACTTTACATCTAGCAAGAAATTCTCTGATTTTTCTATTTTCAGAAATTTTCCCGAGAGATAGTTAAGAAGAAAAGAGCAGATTACTAGCCCAAATCACATGCTGATACTGTGAATCGACATTACTTTTGCAATATTTTTTTTCAGAACTTAGTTCCTCTAAATGTTATCAAAGACACCCAACGTGTCATAAGTGACATACCTGATTTACCCACAAATAATGATAATGTTAAAAAATTTGTTATAAAAAGAATGAGAACATTGTTAAAAAGTTGGCTTGAGGCATGCTTCAGCTCTGAACCTAGGTCTAGGCATGTTGGGTGCTTCACCTTACATAAGCGGCTGTTCAATGCCTCAGCACCCACTGGCGCTTCTTGAAAAAGGTCATACCAAGAAATAAATATACTTGGCTAAGCAGTATATTAGTCAATCAGTACTAATTTATATATCACTCTTTCAATTTCGGGGTGTCCCAATATGTTTGGAAACTGGTCATTCTTTATGCAATTTTCATGTCTTTCAAGAATTTAAATACACTAAACAAGTGGAATTTTTTAACTTTGATGTGATGCGTTCTCTATCAAACTAGTTTTCAGTCATTATTTGAGAATATCTTTTTATGTTATCAGCTGTATAGTAGATAAATCAAATTATCATTTTAAACTCTATGTCCAGTCAAATACTCGTATAGCATACGACAGATGCAGCACCCGCTAAGAAAATAATATCTACGAACATGTTTATTAGGAATAGATATATAAACACATCTTTCACAACAAATTACTTATTTAACTTAATTGCAGCTCTTTCAATTCAGTTGTTTATGTAATTGTTGTTTGTGTTTATTACTTTTTTTTACTTGCACTACATATATTATTCTTCTCTTCATCCATGCCTCTCTTAAGTAAAGTAAGTGCTTTTGTACGCTTGTTGCTTTTTGACAGCTCCAATGAAAATAATAGGTCTTGGACCCTCTTTGCAACCATTGAAGGGGAGCCTTGGAACAACGGTAAAGTTGTCTCCGTCAGAGTTGTCAAAGGCGTGCTTAAAGCGCACTTTAGCCCTAAAGTGAGGCTCAAAATATATTGAGCACTTCGCCTCGCTTTGTGGGCGCTTCAGTGTCGCATCAAGGCTCTAAGACATACTTTTCCTTGCCAATGAATATAATCCTGAAAAGGCGACACTGGACAATTGATATTTCATTTTATCGTAATTGTTTTTTAGTTTTTTTGTCTATATATTTGTTATTCATGCTTATAATTATTTGTCTTGGACTACATATACATATTTTTACTTTTTCTCCCGTTGCGCCTTTTTTAATTAAAGCCCACGCTTTATTTGCGCTTTGCGCTTAAAGCCCCAACAGGCCTTAGAACTTTTTTGCGCTTTTCGTTTTTGATAATACTGGTCTCCGTGTGACCTATAGATCATGGGTTCGAGCCGTAGAAGCAGCCACTAATGCTTGCATTAGGATAGGCTATTTGCATCACACCCCTTGAGGTGCGACCCTTCTGCAGGCTATGCGTGAACGCTGGATTCTTTTTGTTCCAGGCTGTCCTTTTACCCTCTTTGCAAACCTTTAATGGTTGTCTTAGAACTACGAAGGGATTCCATGGCCTGAAATTGGAAGTAAAGATCTATATCTCAAAGGGCTCGCCTGAGGATTATTTGTGGCTCGATTGGTAGTAGGGGTGGGCATCGTTCGGTTCGGTTATGAATATTATCGGTTTAGCATATCGATTATCAGTTTACAAATTTGATAAACCGATAACCGAACCGTTAAGATATCGGTTATCGGTTAATCGGTTATTGATCATTATCGGTTCGGTTAGCGGTTTACCCGATAAGATAACTCAATTTAAAGTTAAGCAAAAAAGAGAAGACAATTCACTGGAGTTAAGCAAAAAAGAGAAGAATTCACATATAGTATACTAAAGACTTACGCTAGGAGTAACTAGTAAGGTCTATGAAGAATGAAGATGAAGGAACTCAAGAGTGCGGTTGAGAAAGAATAGGAGAGAATGAACTGAAGCCCTAGCATTTGTATATACTTAAGGGTAAAGTCATAATTTTATTAATTCTTATTGGGTTATCGGTTAACCCATTAACAAAATTGGCAAACCGAGGCCCAAACAGATAACCCAATAGTGAAAAAATTCTAAACCATTATCGAACCATTAACCCAATAACCCTATACCGATAACCCAATAAACAATTAACAATTCGGGTTATCGGTTTTACCCGATACATGCCCAGCCCTAGTTGGTAGAAATCTTGATGGAATTTCATGGCTAGAGAGGAGAATGCAGTTGAGGGAGAGAAGTAACAAAATTGAGGAGAGTTAGTGGTTGTTTATAGGCTATAAATAGTTCATTTTAATCAGTAATAGCATAAAAAAGAAGGTTGAGTACTCTAAGAGGTGCACCATAAAGGAAGGAAAGAACCAAAAGTCGGACGAATTAGCAGATAATACTAATGCAGTGAATGCTGCTGCGTAAACAGTACGTATAGGTTGAAAGAATGAGAAAGAAGAAATTCTAGAGCTGACACATAGAATTTCCTTGTAAATAACTCTATAGCCAAGACTGAATAAATCACCACGGAGGCTTTAAAAAAAAGGAAGGAATCATGGAAATCAACTCACAATTCAATCATCATAAGATAGTGTATATAAGTAGCTAGATCTTTTATGCATTGAACAATAGCAAGAATGAGGGAAATAGCTATTTCATGATTTTAGAACTACTATACTCCATTGTTTAATTTCTGTCACTGATCTATTGCCTATTGTTTAATTCTTCTTGAGCCGAGAGTCTTTCGGAAATAGCCTCTTTATCCCTCCGGGTAGGGATAAGGTCTGCGTACACTCTACCCTCCCCAGTGGGATTTTACTGGGTTGTTGTTGTTGTATACTCCAACTAGAGTGGAAAATCATTGGATATTTTAATTAACCATTAAATGATGTGGTTCCTCGAATCTATCATAAAAAACACATTAGACTCTTCTCTGCTTTAGGACCTTAATAAAATAATTTGAATATGACATGCTTGTAGAAGCAACAATAGTGCATATATCTGATTGACTGAACCTAAACCAGTTAAAATATGCTCCAAATGTGACGATATAATATGCTTAAAAAAATAACATAAATTTGTTACAGCTAAGGGTGTAATGTGGGCTGGGCCCGGGCCTAAACGGGCTTCGTGGCCGGTCCTAAGTGGGTCGGTCCTAAGTGGGCCCGAGCTTTGCGGGTTTTTTGTAGTAACCGGCCCAGGACCACTAACTAATGGTCCCGGGCTAAGTGGGCCGGTCCCGGGCCTAAGTGGANCTTCCACCATTCCAAAATATTAAAGGAGCCGTCGGGATTCACTTCCTCAATTCCCTGTAACAAATAAGCTTCAAACTCATTTAGTTGTGAACAATCACTAGTACTAGAACATTGAGAACCCCTGAACCCGGCCCAAGCAGTAACTGCTCTTACTCCCGTAGTTCTTTTAGATGATTGAGAACTAGAAGAAGGAGTTGGAACATTTGGTCTAGCATTATCTATTGCAATTTGATAAGCACTATAAATAGTTTGAGCATTTATTTTAATTGAGGCTTGTGCGTCCGAAAGTCTAGACAACTCCTCATTTTCAAGTGCTAAACCATTATAAATAGATTGATACCAATATTGAGGACCTCCTAATTTCGTAGTAGGATTTAACAAGGCAGCAGCACCATAAATAAGGGGAATAGGGAAACAATATTTTTTAAATTTCTTTCTCATAGAATAAATAGCTTGTTCATAAATTTCTCCACCCTCTGAAAAATATGCAAACAAATTTGCAAGTTCTGCAAGATAAACTAAACAGTTAGAAATAGTAGGATAATATTGCTCAGAAAATTCATTCGTAGCAATATGAAATTTTTCTAAAACATCTACAAGCATTTTAACATTAGCACAATCCTCATTTGTAAGGTGCTCATCATCATCACTTACATGAGCATTAAACGTTGAGTTTATGGGGTTTCTATATTCATATGCAACAACTAAACTTTCATACATGTAATTCCATTTAGTTGGACAAGGTTTAAGAACCTTTCTTTCTCTTAGGCCAAATTCATCGCATCTTTTAAAATATTCTCTAAGTCTACTTCTACGGTTTGAATAAAAAAGCCAGTGAAGAGCCATTTTAACCTTTTCAAGTGTTCACCACCTCCAACATTATGCACATATTGACTCTCAGTAAATTGTAATAAAGTATTATCACTATCAAGAATAGGAGCAGGTGGAAGGCGGGTATGGGTTTGGGTAGGGAAGCCCGGGGAATTGGAGGAGGAATAGATTGGCCACTAGATTCACCACTCTTGGATTTTCCCTTATTTTTACTAAACATTTTTTAACGAAAAATCCATCTTAATTAATCAAACAATACAAAAGTAAATAAAACAAAACAAAACTATAATATTAAAACTTAAGAGTTGGAACGAGTTTACCGAATTGACGAACAACTTGTTGAAAATTAATTATTGTTGAAGACTTGAATGCTTCAATTCACCAACTTCATAATTTTTCACACAAATTGCAATAATAAAGTAACCAATTATAGAAGAAAATTAGAGAGAGATTGATAACTTTGTGAGAAAAATAAAAGAATGAGTGGGTATTTATAGTTAAAAATAAGGAAAAAGTGTAATTATAAAAAGTTTGGGGTTAAAACAAAGTTGGAAGGGTTAAATGGCTATTTTAGAAAGCCAAAACGGCTATTTTTGCAGGCCAACGGCCTTTTAAATGTTGCAACAGCTAATTTTTTTTTTTAAAAAAAAAAAAATAGTCGTTGGGCCCGTTTGAGCCCGTTTAGGATCGGCCCACTTAGCAACCGGTCCCGGGCCCAAACGGTCCGATATTCACGGGCTTATTCAAGGAACCGGCCCACTTAGCGGGCCCACTCCTGGTCTCGGGCTTAAACGGTTAGGCCCGTTTAGGCCCACTACCCATATGGGCTCGCGGGCCTGAGCCGGGCTCGGGCCTAACCGGCCTACATGCCAGCCTTAGTTACAGCTGTTGAGGTCTAAGGACACGATCTAATAGATCGTTGTACTGAATAGTTGGATCATAATCTCTTACCATAAAAATGGCTGCATGCGCGGCAACACCAACTATGAGAAATCCACCAATCCACATGTGATGTGTGAACAATGACAGGTGTGTACCATAGTCAGTAGCTAGATACGGATAAGGGGGCATGGAATACATATGGTGAGCTACAACAATGGTTAAAGAGCCTAACATAGCTAAGTTAAGAGATAATTGAGCATGCCATGACGTTGTTAGGATCTCATATAGGGCCATAATAAGAGTTTTCAAAATTATTTCTGACTTGCATCATGTGTCATGGACCCAAATGTTATGTCTTACCAACCTTCTGCAAAGAAGAGTGTGTGTGTGTATATATAGTAAGTCTTATTAATGTTAAAAATACCAACACTAAGAAAGTGCTGTGATTACATACATCCCCCCCCC